GGCGAGGAAGAAAAAACTGGGCGGGACATGCTCCGAAATAAGAGGCATTTATCACGAGGATTTGTAAATTGGTTCAGAAGCAGTCTGGAGATCGGAAAAAAGCGAACAAAGGTTGACGAGAGGGGAGGCCAAAATCCATCAGTGGTTGAGCATGTTGCAAGCGGATAGCTTAGAGGTCAAATATTCATAATCTATCGCCCCAAATTCTGAATTAACTTCGCAACATTCCATATCGCCGCAAAACTGTGTGGGCAACAGCGTGCGGCGCCAAGTGGTTGTTAATGACATGCCATCAAGTTCCCCTGAACGTAGATTTTTAGTGTTCAAGATATTGGCTATTTGGAATCAAACGGTGTTATTTGAATGCGAGCTGTCCGCATTTCCCGCTTATTCCGAGTTTTGACAAAATGTAGGCTGCTAAAACGGTGGGCTTGGTGCTTTGCTATATCGCTGAGATTGGCATGGGGAAAGTTGATGTAAGATGGTTCATTAACACCTTGGAGCCCTGCAGCCCATATGTGGGCTGCAGTCCGTCGACCGCGTAGGACCTTTCAGCTCACATTTCGGAAACAAATATTAAGTTTTTCTTTCTTTTCCATTTCATTCGATAAGGATTTCTTCTGCATCATACAGTAGGTTTTCTTTTGATTTGCTTGATAACATTCCTAAAAATTTCACTGAAGTCCCACATCGCCACAAAACGTGAAACATGCGCGGTCTCCAATGTGCTAAAAGAGGGTTCAATTGAAAAAGGTGTTGCCGCAGACTTGTAAGCGCTACTGTAGCCATAGAACACACGCGCGAAGCAAATATTGTTTCAGCCCGAAGCTTGAATCGAGAACAGAAAAAAGTGAATTTTAATTGACAAATGTTGTCAGTACGAAGTAACCTTTTAAATGCTTTCAGACAAGCGCCGTTCTGTTGAACCACTGACACCATCAGGACTAAGTGAAGGAGACCCACTCGATGTGGAGGAGGTCAGGTTTGAATTTGTGAAGCGCGTGCAGCAGTCATGATTCTTACATGTCGGTTTTGGTTTTATGTTACATACCGCGTCACTCTTTGGACATAGTGTGTCTGCTATAGATACAATCAAAGCAACAATCCCAAATCAAATTGGTGGTGTAACAGAGGTCGATAGTGAAATTGTTGATGTGTTACTGACTAAAAATGATAAAAGTACCACAGCAAACTGCCGATGAAGCCATTACCAAGTATTCCCTACCTTCTCCCTTAAAAGGAAGAGTAGGTGAAGGACGAGTTGTGAGAACACACTTGCTTCACGGCTCCACAATTTCGTGCGTACTCCCATGAGCAGCTACCCCGTAACCTACGGTATGAGGCACTGATCTCGTCCTAAGTTCACATCTATCTCGCCATCAGGCGCACTTTCGAGCTGCGACAATTCCACATCCATGATACTTGTGGGGTTACCTACCCACCCACAGACAACAGGTTCTTAGAAACAATTTCGTCTACGATTGTTGCAACCCTCTTCTAACGAAATCACTTGTACTTCCAAGCAGTGTTCTTTAGAAAAAATGCTCTGTTTCAGGTGAATGTCAGTGTTTCGCTCGTGATCAAACCTGTTGATGAAAGCGGTAAAGAGATAGTCGATATCGCTGAGCTTAATGATAAGCAACAGGAAGAAGATGATGTGTTCTTGTCGGACAATGAAGATAATAATATAGAAGGCTTCCTGGTCGAAGAGAGCACCCAGACCGATTCGGCAGCGCAGTACACGGACAATGAAGTATGTTGTTTTATTGAAGGAAATTGACAGAGAAAAAATACAAAATAGTGACGCAATGTGGTTAGGTAGACAATGCTACCCTTGTTGGATTATCAAAAACTATTGGTAAAGGTGATGTTGTGGAAGGGTTAGACTGTTTCTTTTATCTGTAAAGCAGCAGCTGTCCACGAAACTATGTTTCATGAGTTCACAGGATACCAAATTACCTTGTTGAAGAATCTGTTGGCAGAAGAATGGCGCCTAGTACACCTCAAATCTTGATCTCGCGAATCTTGCTTGAATCTTGCGTGTAATAATATTTTAGCCAGTCAAATGAACTTTTGCTAACTCTTTTTCCACTTATCAGATGGATTGTACAAAAATTTGAGACACACGTTCAAATTAGTCGTTTTGGGGGAGAGGAGTATAGGAACTTGGAACATTTCTTATAGTTAGGCGAGTTCCGACTTGCCATGCTTCTTCGAGACAACAGAAAAATCTATTTATGCTGTCGCTCGTGTAGGGGGCTCTTATATTTATGAGGAAAATTCTAGAGATTTTGACGTAAGATTTCAACCAACAGTTGCATTCTGTGCCGCAGCAAGTTTGTTGCTATGCGCCGCGAGCAGAGGAACCTTTTTGCCTCTTCCCGGTATATTGATGAAGCCGAGAATGTTGCGTGAGTGCAGCATGATCTGCAGTTGGCATCGGAAACTTCAGTCTGAGCTGGGAAATTTTCAGAGAAGAAAGCTGTGACTACATTTATTGTGAAGTAAACGATTTGGAACAGCTGTAATGTTGTTGCTAAGAATTCCCTCTAAGGCGAAGTGTGGATCTATTATTACGCACTCAAGTGACAGTGGAGATGTGGAGTGTGAAGGGAGTTATGAAAAAATCGGGATTAGATACTTGACACGGATGAAAATAAGTGCCCGTCTCTAGTGGCGACAGAGCGAAGTAGCAGTGATCTGTCACCGGGCTCACTGGTACTCAATCATTGCTGCACTACTTTGATAAGGCTTCAGCGTCTTGGACCTATCAAAACATCCCGAATGTTGTACACTGCATTTCTTGGGAAGGCTCGTTCTGACCAAAAATCTTTACAAGGCCTTAACAAAACAAAAAAAACACCCTGCAATTCTGAAAAAGGAATGGAAAAAAAATCATGTTGACTTTGAAGAGGGCCTTGAGGCCACACAGCGTACGCATCGTTTTGTAGTAATATTTTCTTGGCTTCGCTCAGTAGCGCGTGCACCACCCTTGGTCAAGCGATGTTGAACGGGAAATGATATTCACAACCTCAGCTCCGCCCATCCTTACGTGTACCCTGCCCAGCGTAAGCATGAATTCTCATCAATATCATGTCTTCATCCTTTTTTCCGGTCTATAGACATTTCCGCACCGCAAATTTCAAACTTCTATTATGCCCTCCCTAATACTGTGCAAGTTACCACAGAGCGGTGCGCAGTTTATTCGTTGGTGGTTGTGTATGAACTACCATTATTTTGACACGTTCTCATGGCGTTTCCCAACAGTTGGTTGTGAATTTTCTTCTGGTTGTTAGCCATGCAAGGCTTAACATTTTTGGATGGCTAACTACGATCTAAAGTTACGGAATAACGCGGCGTCCCACGGTAGAATACTCCCAATGAAGAACGCTAATGCGACCAGTAGAATACAAGTGACCTCAGACGAATCAACCGAAGCTTTATTGATGAAATAGTAGATAGCGTCCGTTGAATACAGCGACGATGGACGCAATCGTAGCGATGTAGATGAAACGGACGAAACTCGAAGACGTTGACTAGGCAGCAACCTCCAAGAGCCAAAAGCCTCGATCTCGTGGGCGGCTCCCTTATATCCATCGCGCTGGAATCTTATGAATCTTCGCTGACTTTTACATGAAAACAATCTGCCATATCTTCAAATCTAAAGCACTACCGTAAACCAACATTACACTAAACTTAGGCATTACATTTGGTCGACGACACTCCGGCCCCAGCTTACCGGATGACGTCATTCTCTGGCCGTCTTTTCTTCCACGCTCCTCAGCCGCCATAGTTCTCGCTCTGTTTCCTTCATGCGTGCATACGCCACCATTTTTTTGTCAGGAACATTGCAAACGGCACGATGGTGGAAGCCTCCATCACTTCGACGCAAATCTTCGAAAACTGTAAAACTTAATCGATAGCAATAAAAACACTCCCTCTTACGGTATCTACATGGGTGACCTTTTGGA